TCAGTTATCGAATATCAAAATGAAATATAAACATTATGTTTCAGTAAGTAAAACTTGAGAGCCATTAAACTGAAGTCTACCATATAATCTTTAAAACAAACCTCTTAAAATTTCATCTATTCTTTTTCTAAGTTGTTTGCAAACATATTGGATAGTTTGCAATACATCTATTATATATTCAGCAATTCTGTTTTGTTTTAAAATATTGGTACCTAATACTTTTAAATTATGTGTGTGTTCATTATACATAAATTTAAAAGCTGAAATTCTTTGCTGATCTGAGAATCAGTGTTGACTCACTAATGTGTAGATATAGAACTCATTAATTTGTAATACAATGTTAAATAATCCATCCTTTGGCTAGGTGAGTGTTAAAGGACAGAAAAGGAATTAGAGTCAAGTCCAGAACTCGGAAGTGGTGAAACAGCCAATAGTTACAAGCCAATAACCATCACGTTGATAGATGGTGGTTAACTGAGAGGAAACCTACAAAGTCACAAGGATTGCTGTGCCAGCAACAGCATACAAGGAAATGCAATGGTCTCAAACAAAAAGTTTCCCTGATCTAAATCATTATTTTCCTTTGACATCCAAAAGTCTTAACAGTGGACACAGGAAGGAGAAATAAAACGTGTTCACCTTTGTGACCTCTGCACCTTTATGCTTTCCTTCATTATGCATATGTTCACAAAATCTCTCAGGAACTTCTTTCAAAATACATATGAACAGACTCAATCTGCAAAAAAACTAGATCCTGTGGATTCCAAGCACATGTGTGTTTACACAATGACCCCAAGTGGCAAGCACTAACTAAAGAATATTACAGCTGTTATCTAATTTGTTTAACCCACACAAAACCCTGAGAGAAGTATTATGAATGTCACTTTCCAAAATAGGGAGAATGAGTCTCTATAATGTGATTAAGCAGGAAATCTATCTAATTCTTGTGCTTATAACCACTCTGCTCTGCTGTGCCCTTTAGTCACTAGTGGTTTACTTAAAGTCACATCATTATTATGGTGGAAACACTTGCAACATGAATGGCAGAAATCCCGTAAGAAGAAGACTATGACATCTGACCAGCAGAAGTCTCCCAACAGGTGCTTCCACACCTGTTTCCAACATGCTCATGGTTATGTCCATACAGCTTCCTCTTCCAGCTCTACCCTCTGACATCATGGGTGTGTGATAACTCCAAGAAATCTAGGTACAGGGGGGTAGCCATTCCTCCTGGACCCTCTAAGCGTTCATGATGTTATGATGATTTTTGGGGCATCAACTTTCCCTTAAAACAGGGAACATAGTGGTTTACTTTACATTGTAAGCTCTCTGCTTTGGATGTTTGCTACAGGAAGAGATGCAAAAACAAAATCACAGTTGTACCCTCATATTTTAGGGCAAAAGTCTGAAATATAACACCAGAGGTCTGCAGAATATGTTCACTGTTAACAAGTTGATGAGCTTAATTGGTTTTATTCTGTGATTTAAAAAGAAGACCATTTTTGTCCATCTTAGCGACTCCACTTAACTTTTAATTTCACACTTTATTGCCTTTATTTTTGCTGTTCTCATCACTTGAGCTATTCAGTTATCTTTGTTATGCTTGGTTAACAGCTATTAATTTTGGCAAGTCAACCTTTGTTTCAAGCAGCTATTCTCCCCGATTTATTCAGTATATTCCATTTCACTTCATATTCCAACAAAGAACAATATGAGACACTAGAGAGAAGAGAACCCACACATAAAAAGTTGCAATACTAAATTCATGTTTACCACAATTCAAAACCAGGAGATAATTCACCTATTAGGATAAGTTGCATTGGAAAGCTACAGAGATCTCACTGATAAAATTATTGCTTTTATAGTAAGTATTACAGATGTTATATACAAATAAATAGTGCTGAAACTTTTCAACTTATGACTATTAGCCCTCATAATATTCAGAAACTCTTGTTCTTCTATATAATGACAATTCCTGTAACATAGCTAGTTTTTAAAAAAAAAAAAATTTTTTGAGACATTGAGAGCTTTTTAGCTAGCAAGACATAAATTTACCAAAGTTTATTTTACACAAGCCATTATTAGAAAAATAAATTAGTTGTTTATTCAACTGTGTAAATAATCACTACTTTAGTTTCTTTAGTAACCCTGAAAGTGTCAATACTATTAAAGCATTAAACTGAATCATATAACCTACAAAGACTATTTGATGAGAATTTACTAAGTAAAAAATAAATCTCTAACACAGCCCTCTAACTTAGTCTTCTAATTTCATACCTGTGATTTCCAGGGAAGAACTTACCTCTTCTCTTTCATAGTGATATATTAGGCCATATTCACCCTCTCAAAGGAATTACAAGATTTCTTTGGTTTTCTTTTTAGACCATTTACTATATGAAAAAGATTAACACTGACATAAAGGAAGTTTTTAAAGGACCTCTAATAAACAGGGATGTTTGTTCACAAATCTATGTACTATTATATGTATAGGAAACCAGAGAAACTGGAGATACTAAGAATATAATTTATAAATATAAAAATGTCTTCAAAAATTTCTGTGTAGTATTTATTAAGGCTCATAAAAATAAATCCTTAACCAATAAATTACTAAAAACAAAATATTATTTTCAAATTGTAAACACCTATTTATTTTTGCTGAAACATATTTGAAGAAATATACAATGTTGATATTGATATATTGATATTAATACATGCATTAATATAGAATTACATTAACATTTGCTTAAATAATTTATATTTTCATAGCATTATTATGTTCAAAAATATATTAACATGAATAACCTATAAATTTGATTCATTGGTTTATTACACAAACAAAACTAATCATATGCCCACTACGTATATGGCTCATATACTCAACACATTATAGAGAAAGAGCACAAATAAGGTAAACAAATACAAGTTACAGTTTATTTTTAGAGAAATTTTTAAATAAAACATTTCTGATGCTCTGTAATTTTCCACTTCATTTTCATTGTCTGTTGTCTTAATCTCCCTGATATTATTTCAAAAACGCTATTTACCAAAAACACAGAATAATGTTTAGAGGCCTTAAAAATGTCATATATCAAATAGGTTTTCTTTTTCTTCTTAAAAGCCATCTGCAGGGCATCTCTACTTGCCTTTTAGGTCTATACTACTGGGCATATTGACCACTGGCTTGCTATTAAAAACACTTTCTTTATCAGTCACTTCTGAGCATTCTCCAGCTCATTAAGGCCTGAAGAGTATGGTATGCAGGAGTATCTGGTTGTTGTACACGAAAGGAAAAAAAAAAAATTTACTCTACTAAACATATTCTGCAAATAAAAATTATTGCATAAATTCATGTCATAAAGGATTAAAAAAAGAAAAGCGGGGGGGGGGGCAAAAACTGCTAATGTCTCTCCAGAAGTCAGCACTGTTTGCTACCAAAATTCCCCTTTTTTTTTTTTTTTTTTTTTGAGACTGAATTTCGCTCCTGTTACCCAGGCTGGAGTGCAACGGTGCAATCTCGGCTCACCGCAACCTCCGCCTCCTGGGCTCAGGCAATTCTCCTGCCTCAGCCTCCTGAGTAGCTGGCTTAACAGGCGCGCACCACCATACCCAGCTAAATTTTGTATTTTTAGTAGAGACGGGGTTTCACCATGTTGACCAGGATGGTCTCGATCTCTTGACCTCGTGATCCACCCGCCTCGGCCTCCCAAAGTGCTGGGATTACAGGCTTGAGCCATCGCCCCCGGCCCCCAAAATTCCCTTTTTTAATTGAATTTTCATATTGTAATATTTGACACACGATACCAGAAACTAATCCATGAGCCATGTGGAATGACATGCAGCCGGATGTTCCTTGCAGACTTGCTGAAGCATGGCTCTTTTAATCAAAGGCATTTGGATCTTTTTTAATAAGCCTTGCAGTGATTTAAGGAATTTGATCACAGCAGTTATCAAGCTCACACATCAGTTTCATTAAAGTCATTTTCACTGCCCATTAACATCAGCCAGACATGAAATAAGCATTCTCTATGATTACTTAGAGAAATTTTCTCATTTACTCTAAGCGTTTCCAGTGAATTATGTCACTGCGTCAGAGATTACTGTATAATTTTGGTGCTGTTTATTGTCTTAATGTGGTGACCCAAGGTATGTCACTGTTTCAGTGAACTGTGTGGCATCACAGAAGATAGGCTTCACTTCAACAAAAGAAGAAGACATTTATGCAGTCAACAAACATAAAAAATGCTTATCATCACTGGTCACTAGATAAATGCAAATCAAAACCATATTGAGATGCTCTCTCACACCAGTTAGAAAGGCAATCATTAAAAAATCAGGAGACAACAGTTTCTGGAGAGGATGTGGCGAAATAGGAAGGTTTTTACACTGTTGGTAGGAGTGTAAATTAGTTCAACCATTGTGGAAGACAGTGTGGCTCTTCCTCAAGGATCTAGAAATAGAAATTCCATTTGGCCCAGTAATCTCATTTCTGCGTATATACCCAAAGAATTATAAGAACATACATCGAGGCCTTGCTGGTGTGTCAGCAATTGATTTACACTGTCAAAAAAATAAATTAGAAGTGTTTTATTCTTATAAATGATCAGTGTTAGTCTGCTGAAATTAATTGATTTCACAGTATATATCAATATTACTATATTTTTCTTTAAATTTTAAATTGAGTTTCAAACAAATATTTAAAATAACTATGTTTGGCTTTTCCTGACCATCTAATGAAGAATTACAGATTGAAGAAATAGTTTCAATAATTGATGGGAAAATAAATAAACAAATTACTGTTTATATAATCTTACTACTCAGAGATTAAAACTCAAGAAAAGTTAAAAAAAAAAAAAAGCTAATCAGTAAGTCACTCAAGAAACAATAAACAGGTTGGCGCCGCCGCTGCTGGTTAGTCGCGGCGGGGAAGGAGGAGGAGAGAGAGCGCGAGGCGGCGGGGGAAGAAGCGGGCAGGCGCGGCGGCGGCGGCGGCCCGGCCGGCGGGGGCGAGGGCCCGGAAGACGGCGGACGTGCTCAGCGTCCTGCGGCAGTACAACATCCAGAAGAAGGAGATCGTGGTGAAGGGGGACGAGTTTATGTCCGACGTGCAGCTACTGAAAATATTCCTGTGGTGAGAAGACCTGACCGAAAAGATCTACTTGGATATCTCAATGGGGAAGCGTCAACATCGGCAAGTATAGACAGAAGCGCTCCCTTAGAAATAGGTCTTCAGCGATCTACTCAAGTCAAACGGGCTGCGGATGAAGTTTTAGCTGAAGCAAAGAAACCACGAATTGAGGATGAAGAGTGTGTGCGCCTTGATAAAGAGAGATTGGCTGCTCGTTTGGAGGGTCACAAAGAAGGGATTGTACAGACCGAACAAATCAGGTCTTTGTCTGAAGCTATGTCAGTGGAAAAAATTGCTGCAATCAAAGCCAAAATTATGGCTAAGAAAAGATCTACTATCAAGACTGATCTAGATGATGACATAACTGCCCTTAAACAGAGGAGTTTTGTGGATGCTGAGGTAGATGTGACCCGAGATATTGTCAGCAGAGAGAGAGTATGGAGGACACGAACAACTATCTTACAAAGCACAGGAAAGAATTTTTCCAAGAACATTTTTGCAATTCTTCAATCTGTAAAAGCCAGAGAAGAAGGGCGTGCACCTGAACAGCGACCAGCCCCAAATGCAGCACCTGTGGATCCCACTTTGCGTACCAAACAGCCTATCCCAGCTGCCTATAACAGATATGATCAGGAAAGATTCAAAGGAAAAGAAGAAACGGAAGGCTTCAAAATTGACACTATGGGAACCTACCATGGTATGACACTGAAATCTGTAACGGAGGGTGCATCTGCCCGGAAGACTCAGACTCCTGCAGCGCAGCCCGTACCAAGACCAGTTTCTCAAGCAAGACCACCCCCAAATCAGAAGAAAGGATCTCGAACACCCATTATTATAATTCCTGCAGCTACCACCTCTTTAATAACCATGCTTAATGCAAAAGACCTTCTACAGGACCTGAAGTTTGTCCCATCAGATGAAAAGAAGAAACAAGGTTGTCAACGAGAAAATGAAACTCTAATACAAACAAGAAAAGACCAGATCCAACCAGGGGGCACTGCAATTAGTGTCACAGTACCTTATAGGGTAGTAGACCAGCCCCTTAAACTTATGCCTCAAGACTGGGACCGTGTTGTAGCTGTTTTTGTGCAAGGTCCTGCATGGCAGTTCAAAGGTTGGCCACGGCTTTTGCCTGATGGATCACCAGTTGATATATTTGCTAAAATTAAAGCCTTCCATCTGAAGTATGATGAAGTTCGTCTGGATCCGAATGTTCAGAAATGGGATGTAACAGTATTAGAACTTAGCTATCACAAACATCATTTGGATAGACCAGTGTTCTTACGATTTTGGGAAACATTGGACAGGTACATGGTAAAGCATAAATCCCACTTGAGATTCTGAATTATTTGGCTCCTCTGTTTCTGGAAATTGAGACTCAAGCTTTATGAATTTATCAAGAACTTAAAGATGAAGAAGGTCACAGATTGATCTTTTCTAAAACCTTATTTGATGCTTTGTGCTTCAAGGAGATGATGCCTGTCATCCATCTAAGCAAACTTTTTGGCTTACAACTATTTTTTTAATATTAGGCTTCTAGTCTGTAATGGAAATTGTATATTTTGATAGAAGTTTTTTCTCCATTGGTTAAATTAGCATTACTTAAAATTTGTTTCTTTAGAAAATAAATGCAGGTTATAAAAAAAAAGAAACAATAAACAAATAAAGAAATAAACATAAGTAATTAATTTTTTGCACAAATATTTAACATTATGAACCATACATATATACATATGTGAATGTCACATGTGTACATATATACACTATCTATACATGAGTTACCATCATTTAAGGGGCAGAAGTAAGTGCACCATTCATCTCCTGCGACGATATTATCATCTATACAAGGCTCTTTCACTCACATTTAGTTGTTTGCCCCTCATCATTAGTTTTCCCTGTGTACTCTCCTCCCCTCACTAACCACACTAACGTTTACATTTAATTATTTGATTATTAGTGAAGTTTAACATTTTCTCATAAACAGATTAGCCATCAGAAAATCTTTCTGATAAATATTTATATCTTTTGAACATTTTCCTTCTAGTTTACTGTCTTCTTTTTTATTAATGGACAAGATTTTCCTATATATTTTAGTTTCTGATCTCTTCGTTTCAGTCATCCTCTCCCAGTCAGTAATTCATCTCTTGAATTAGCTGGTGTTCCCTTCACCATAGATAAATATGAGCAAATCTATTTCATTCTTGAGGGAGTTAAGTAAAAATACTTCTTCACATTATGTTAATAAAAGTTGCATCTTTTTTCTATTTAAATTGTTTGGCCTTTCACATTGACATCTTGGATCCATTTAATGTTCACAGTTACACGTTGTGAGGTCCAGAAAAGCTTTATTTTTCTGCAGATAGCAGCCGGTTTCTCAATCCCATTTCTTGGACAAACCATTCTTTCTTTACAAATTTATTAAGACATACCAATCACAAACAGTTTCCCTATATTAACAGGACAATTTTATAGACTTTTGTTACACTGTCCTAGTTTTCTGGTCACACACAAATATCATGACATTCTTCTTATTATATCCTTGCAGTGTGTCTTAATATCTGATAAAGAAAATATCCTTTTTCTTGTTTCAAAACTCTTTTATATACCTGTGGGCATTAACTCTTACATCAACAATTTTAAATCAAATTCTACAAAACTTCTCCAGAAATGTTCATTTTAATTATATTGAATGTATAGGTAGGTTGAGTGCAAGAGGTTTTTCGGGGTATGTATGGAAGTACCATCACCATAGTGCTTGGAAGATGAGCTAATCTCATACCATGTGATTCCCAATTTATTATAAAACTGATAGTAGTAGTTAGTAGATGATATCAGCCTTCAGGGGAGTCTAGAAATTCTGTGATGGTGTTTCATGCTTCTGCAGGAAAGGAAGACAGGCCTGTGGGAAGCTGTCAGATATGGTGAGAGAACCAATTCACAGCATCTGCCCCAAAGATAGTAACCACTAAAAATTTAATTACCCCTACTCATACCTCAAGTCTCCCACTTCAAACACAATCCTATATCCTTCTTAAAAATTAAGAAAAAAAGGTTTTGTTTTGATTGCCTATGGAGGAAAAAAAAACATTATTTTGCCTGGCACAAGCATTCTGGAGTAACTGGCAGTCATAAATCCTATTGAAAACTAGTAAATTTGGATTTCATGTTTAGTTTTTCATATGATTTTCCTTCAGAAAAACATATTATCACTAAACAAACAAGCAAACAAAAAGAGTAATGTTTCAAGATCTTTAAAGTTAAATTGCTTATAAAGATAACTACTATAATTATTCCTGTGTATGCATACATACTTCTTTACAATGTGGCTTTGAACTCTCCTATCAACAGGCAGTGCCCATTTCTCCGCCCTTTGAATCAAGGCCAGCCTTGTTACTTGCAGGTCCCAGTATTTCCTTCTTAGGACCCTGAGAAAACTATGTGAAGAAGCTGGGCCAGCCTCCTGAGGATGAGAGAGACCACTTACAGAAAGAAGCACTCTGTAACCAGCACCAACCCCCAACATGTGAATTGGGCTGTCTGAGGCCATACAGTTCCAGTTGAGCTGTCAGTTGACCACAACCATAACAGTGATCTCAGGTGAGACCAGCAAAAGGATAGCCTAGCTAAGTCCCACCCAAATTTCTCATCCACAGAAATGTAAAGAAATAAAATGGTGTAATTTTAAAACAGGGCTGGGAAACCACAAACCAATTGCCAAATCCAACTTGCAAACCACTTATGTATGGGACTTTGAGCTGAAAAGTTAAATGTTTTATTTTTTTAAGAAAAAAAATTTTATTTTTCTAAGAAACAATAATAATAATAATAACAATAATATTCAACAAAAACTTCATGTGGTCCACAGATAATTATGTGGCCCTTTAAAGAAAAAAGTTGTTGACACCTGTTTAATCCAATGTGTTTAGGTTGTTTGTATGAAGAAATATATAAAATGCATGCCAAAGCTTGAAACTTGCTTGTCAAACCAATCAAGATTACGTATGGATACAAAAACATTTTATAAATTATGAGATTATAAAATATAAGACATGAGGATTGATTTTGAGGGCAGAGAGGCAAAACAATGACTAGCTCTTGGAACACAGTAGATTGCATAGCAAAGTAGTCTTGAAAATAATTTAACGTTGATCTTATCAAAATATAAGAAAATAAATCTTTAAGAAAAACATAAGCTGCCTTTCAAGATACATTTTAATGCTATACATGTTTTCCATTGATTTTCTCTTTGTAATATGTAGTCAAGAATTAATCAGGGTAGTAATTCATTATACAGCATGAGAATCCCTAATCTGAAACTCTAAAATCCAAAATGCTAAAAAAAAATCCAAATTGTTTTGAGTCTAACATTACATCAGAAGTAAAAAATTTCACACCTGATCTCATGTGATGGGTTACAATAAAAAATGCAGTTAAAATTTTGTTTTATACACAAAATTATTGAAATAACATTATAAAATTACTTTTAGTCTGTGTGTATAACGTATATGAAACATAAATGTATTTCATGTTTAGGCTTGGGTTCTATCTTCAAGATAGCTTATTATGTAGATGCAAACATTATAAAATATAAACAAATCAAGATCTGAAATATTTCTTCTGGTCCAAAGCATTCTGAATAAGTGATACACAACCCGTACCAGCTACATAGACATACATGTTTGATCATATTAATTTCATTGAATTTATTCTATTCCATGTTGGATGAGTATGCAAATTTTCCTTTAACAACATATTGGTCTTGTATAAATCGATAGGTAGATTGATTGATTTAGTTAGACAGTTACTCTTCAGTCAACATGATTTTCCTAAAACTAATACATTACTTAATATCTTATTGATTAATTTAATTGCTTGGATTCCCCGATGTATGCTTTCCACTTATGTCCTAGACTGTTACTCTAAATAAATTAATAACTCTCTCAAAGAATACATCTTACTGTTGCCCATAGTCTGAAAAAAAATATTTTTACTATACATTGTTATTCTTTACATGTTCTGTTAGGCATATTATTATATTTTGTGTTTTTTTGTGAGGATAAGTTGCAGATGGCAGACGTATAATAACAGCAGTTTAAAAACACATGTACGTTTATCTCCTGTTAAAAATTTTGGCTTTTATAGTAACTCTATTTCATAACAATCAAGGAGTGATAGTTATGACATCATGTCATAATATGAAGCTCATTCCACACTCTTTGCCATTCTTAGTTCATGCCCTTATCTATCTGTTATAAAATAGTTTACCACCAATGGTATTCCAGCCAGCAGAATTAAACACATGGCTCCATCTAACTTTAAGGGAAGCTGGAAAAAGTAATCTTTGTTTGAAAAGACATGACTCTGGTTTTAAAATGTCATTAGTATAAAATTAGTGGGGAATTAATCTTATGAGGGGTGACCACATATCCCACTTTGCTGCATAAGTTAAGCACACCTGTTCTTCCAGAATCTGTTCAGATTTAAGGCCCTTTGACTTTCAGAGAACCATAAATTATATGGCTACCCTAATAGTGGAAGAAATTAGCAGTCTTCTACTGACTAGTATTGTATTAAAAAGTACTATCACTAATACCAGTATCAATGTCTTATATTTGTATCTTACTATCCATGGTGAGTAGCTTGAATTGCCTAAAACCTTTCTGCATCACCTATATATATATACTTCTGATTTCTCAGATATGATATATCTGTGTTCTGCTTTCCATAGCGAGTAGCTTGAATTCCCTAAAACCTTTCTCCATCATCTATATTTATACATATATTTTTATTTCTCAGATATGTGGTCAATTTCTTTCCTTTGCCTACTGTTATAGTACAAATTTCATCCTATTATTCCTCTGTTTTTTTTCTACATAGCTATTACATAATTTATACCAATGGAAATATTCTATTAATAATAAATTACTTACAGGTGTTTGCAAGTCAAAAACCTCACTGTTATTTTGTTGTTAGTATCACTAAAATATATTCCAACATCTGCCATGACTAGCAAGGCTGCAGTATGCAATAATTTTGATTTCAACATATTACCATGGAAAAGATGGTGACCCAAGTCACTTTCTAGAATCTGTATTAAACACGACCTGTGAGTTCATGTCCTTTGCAGGGACATGGATGAAGCTGGAAACCATCATTCTCAGCAAACTGACACAAGAATAGAAAACCAAACACTGCATGTTCTCACTCATAAGTGGGTGTTGAAAAATGAGAACACATGGATACAGAGAGGGGAACATCACACCAGGGCCTGTTGCAGTTTGGGGACTAGAGGAGGGATAGCATTAGAAGAAATACATAATGTAGATGGCAGGGTGGTGGATGTAAAAACAACCATGGCACGTGTCTACCTAGTGTAATAAGCCTGCACGTACTGCACGTATACCCCAGAATGTAGAGTATAATAATTAAAAAAAAAAAAAAAAAAAAACCACAGGTCGGGCCAGGCGCGGTGGCTTATACCAGCAATCCTAGAACTTTTGGAGGCCAAGGCGGGCAGATCACGAGGTTAAGAGATGGAGACCATCGTGGCTAACACCGTGGAACCCAGTCTCTACTAAAAATACAAAAAAAAAAAAAAAGTAGCCAGGCATGATGGCAAGCGCCTGTAATTCCCAG